GTCACAAAAATGGGTGGCTATTACTATTACTGGCTATCAGGGATCCAGGAGGCTAGGGGCCCCTGATATTGGGCATGCTGGTATGTGGCTGAACACTAAATATATAAGGTTTGAGAGAGGATTCTTAATTTTCATCTAAGCCAAGAATTAGCCAACTTCCCTTCCCTACTGGAGCCCACCTCCCACATACTCACACAATATCCATAGCAGGTGTAATGGAACCTCCACACATTATACCCAGCAATATTGTAGTCACACTTGGCAAATCAGCATGTTCTTCCACGATAAAGCTCAACTGTGAGAGAGTTCTTCATGATGAGCTAAAACGTGCCTCCCCAATCCTTCTACTTTCCATGAATTAATCTCTTTACTGTTCTATGAAGTAACTCAGACTAAATCTCTCCCTTCTTTTAAGCTTAGTCCACTGACTGAAGTCCAGTATTATTCTGGTACTCTATTGTATTTTTTCCAGGTAAATGTCACCCAATTCCTCACTAAATCTAACAGGAAATGGCTTCTAAACTCTGTTCCTCACTCTGGTCTGCCTTGTTTTGATATGCTTCTGATGAAGAAGCATATCAAAGAGCTGTGCCAAGAACTGGGCTTTCTTCCTCCCTTGGACTGACCAGCACCGAACTCGGGGCTGCCACCTCCACTGTTTGGGATTCTGTAATGCAACCTAGTTAGACAGTAACTCTTGGCCATCTTTTCACACTGTCATACAGCATCTTTGGTCTATAGCTGAGATTCCTGGTCCCTCTTTACAGGAACTACTATAAGCAGGTATCACCCACTCTGTATGTTCCCAGTTGACTTCCCTCTTGATCACAGATAGCAATTCTATAATCACAACTCCAAGGACCTGCATGCAGTACCATGGGGCAGCAAGTAATCAGGACTTGGAGACATGAGGTTATTTGAAGTGGCTTTGCTCTCTAAGTGACTTCTCTCATGCTATAGGTTTCAGTGACCCTCATCCTTGTTTGTTTGTCACTTTATAGCTACAAAATTATTTTCTGGTGAGGAAAGAAAAGTAGGAGAAGCATAACTACAGTTACTCTGATGTTAGGCCTTCTTTCTACTTTCAGTTAGTATAGTAACCACTTTTCCAGCCAGTGGGTCAGTATGACCTTTATAACCACACTGTAAAAAGAGATTACTAGTATCATTCCCATTATATAATGTCACAGAAAGATGAAATGGAAACTCTTGGCATTTAGACAGTTTATCCAAGCTCAAACAGAAAGATGCAGATTCATGACTACAGCCTGTGCCATCTGTTTCTACTATACCAAGATCATTGATGGGAAGGGTAGAGAAGATAAAAGGTTAGAAAGATGAAAAAAAGATTCTTACAGTTCTTCACACACTTGAGAACCCATAACTGAACTGAGATGATAACTACCCTGAAAGGCTTTGTCTGTGTCCAATGTAGTGTGGACACCAAGAATAACAGCATGTGACAGCTCTAGAGAGTTTTCACCCACCACTCATGATAGTCAGCTTTTTGCCATTATGACAAATACCTGAGAAAAATCAATGTAATGTTTATTTTGGCTCACAGTTTCAGAGATTTCAGTACACAGTTGGCTAGCTCTATTGCTTTTAGGTCCACAACAAGGCAGAAGCATCCTGGCAGAAAGGCATGGTAAAAGAAAGCTGCTCTCCTCATGGCAGCCAGGAAGCAGAAAGAGTAAGCAAGGAAAGGACTAAAGACAAGACATATCCTTTCAGGTCACACCCCCAGTGACCTATTTCCTCCAGTTTGGTCTGGCCATCTAAATTTTCAGCTCCCACAATAATGCCATCAAATTATGAATCCATCAATGGATCCACTGATGAGATTAGAACTCTTATGATCCAATCATTCCTAAAACCTCCTCAACTGAATACTACTGCACTGGGAACCAAGCCTTCAACACATGAGCTTTGGGGGTGGGGAGAACATTCATATGCAAATCATAACAACCCCCAAGACTGCATTTCTCAGTGTCCTTCAAAGCACCTAGGGCATGTCATCAATAAAGGACACAGTAACCATGTGATGATTGGCTGAACTAATTACACTTAGTCCTACAATCATTCATTGTTTCATCTCTTGCCCCAAACTCTAGAATATTCACTGCTCCATGTCCAACTCTGCCCGTCAAATTAGAGTCCCCCATCCCTTTTGCTAGTCATACTCATCTAACCATATCTGTCTTCATTTCTGATTTGACCTCTCTTCCTCGGCCCTATTCTCTCCAAACATTCCTTCATTTAAAAGTATTAATGCAGTATGCATGAAGTGCAAGCATGGTGTGTAATGGATCTGGCTTGTTTGTAGTTCTCTCATTTATCTGAGCTGCCTGACCATGCAGTCTTTAATGATTATCCAGAGAATCCAGAGAATCTTGCCTCCTGCCTTATCATTCCCACACTCTATTTCCCAGAGTTATTGGACCACATGAATTGGGTCCCACCCTTGCTATATGGTAGGAGGTAGGTCCACATAAGTGGACACAAAGGAAAGCATTCATGCATTTATTCAACAGATACCTGCTGTAGTTGCTACTCTTTCATCACTGTGACAGAATACTTGACATAAACAACTTAAGGGAGAAAGGATTTATTTTGAGTCACAGTTTCAGAGGTTCCAGTCCATCATGATGGGGAAGGTATAGCAGAGCAGAGCAATTAATATCATAGCAGCCAAGAAGTAAAGAAAATGGGTACAGAAAGGGGCCAGGACAAGACATACCTCAAGGACATGCCCTCAGTGATCTACTTCTTCCAATGGTCCTACCCCCTACTATTCACCACCTCTCAGTAATGCCATCCTATTATGAATCCATCATGGGTTGATCCATTGATTAGGTCGGAGTCCTAATTATCTAATTGTCTCTGGAAACACCCTCACAGCATACTCAGAGATGTGCTTTTCTAGTCCTCAAGGTATTTCCTAATCCAATCAAGTTGACAATCAAAAGTAACTATCATACTTACTAAACACAGGCAATGTTCCACCACAGGTCCTAAGCCTAAGGAAAATGGTAGTGAGTAAAATAAGCAGAGTCCCTGTCTACATTCTAGACAGAGGAAGATAGATGATGACATGTTAGAGATTTAATGAATAAGATAAATTCAAATACTGATTAGTGATCTGATGATAAGATAGTGGGGTATTGTAAAGTGACTGGAGAGAATTCTTTTGACTGTGGTCCCAGACAGGACCTATCTGAGGAGGCAACATTTGAACTGAGATAGCATATAGGATTCCAGGGAGTGAGTTCACCATAAAAGTTGATTGGTTAAATGGTTTGGTGGCATGGTGGTTAGGTAGGTGAATAGTTGGGTGGCTGGGTGGCTTGGTAGCTTTGTGGTTGAGTGGCTAGGCAGTTAGGTAGCTGAGTGGGTTGGTAGTTGGTTGTCCCAATAGCTGTTTAAGTATCAACTGTTGATGTGATGGGTACGAAAGTTCTTCCCAATATGAAAGTTTTTTCTTCTACTTAATCTAATTTTATCACTTTGCTCTCTTGTAGATTCCTGTATTGGGAAAAATGGTAAGTGTTGGTAATGTCTCTTCTGACTCTAAATGTGTCTCTGATTCAATTCTTAATGGGTAGAGATAGGACAGTGCCATTAGGTCCCCTAGTGATATCTGCACAACAACACCAAGCTAGGCTGCTTCCTCAAAATTCTTGGCTAGTGTCCAGGCAGAGGAGAAACCTGGAATTCCACTAGCTAAAGCCTTGTGTAGTTCTAGGGTGACTTGTTGTACCTCCCTCCTGAAAAGTGGATTTGGCTCCTGTCTTTCCTCTCAGTGTGTTCTGGAGCTCCAAAAGTTCTCTACTCAACAAGGCTTGGACTCCCTTCCTTCCCTTTTATAGTCAGAGAACCAAGAGAGTCCATTAGTCTTCATTTCTTTCTTAGTTACTCCTGCTCTTCAGCCCATCCTGTCCCACCAGCCTCCATGGTGTTTTCTGTCAAGAAGGCAAAAACTCTGAGATAGGAACATCTTGTCCTCCAGTGACATGTTTTGTGATTCAGGGAGAGGTTATTAAAATCAATACTTTGGAGCTGATAGAAAGAGCAGTTGTGGAAAGAAGGGCCATCCGTCAGTAACCCTATGAACATCTTTGCTCTGCTTTAAGGATGAGAGTAGGGATAGTGGGTTCTACACATCCAGGAAGAGTCAGGCAAAGGCAGAATGTGCTGAGACAGGCCTTGGGGCTCCCTACCTGATTACTTGTTATTCTCAGGCCATCAGTCTTGGCTTCTAAAGCTTTCTAGAACTGGTGATGTCTAACTTGTCAAAGAGGTACAGTCTGGGGCCATACCCAGTCTAGGGCCACCCTGAAGATGGATGCCTGATCCCTGGGACCTCTTGTCTTATCTATGTCAGGGTATAGGATGCACTTTAGAAGTAAGGAGAGAGAGAAGAAATCCTTTCCATGACTGACAGAAGATGAAACTCCTTGTTGAGTGTGGAGATGGAGACTGGGCCAAGAAAATCTTCCCAGGAAGCTCCTCTCTAGTGTGCTGAGATGCAGCTATTATTAGGGTGAATGATGCAAAAAGTGTCACACTACAGTAACTGGGAGATAAATAGGCAATCTAGGGAAGGAAGGAATGATACAGGAAGAATAAGGACATACAATTGTTGGAATAAACCTAACTTAGCCAAATTGGCAAGGCAGTGGAGGAAAATGCAGTATAGAAGGACAAAAGGATGGGAAGGAAGATGTCCAGAGAGAAGGCACAGAGAGAGGAGAGAGAGGGAAGAGAAAAGAGAGGAAAAAAGAATAGCAAAAGGAAGGAGAGCAGAAGGAAAAGGAAACCAAGGTCTTGCCCTATCCTGGTCTGGCATGAAGGATTTGAGACAGACAGCTACAAATGTGTTATTCAGAACTCTTTCATCCCTAGTGGGAGGCCTTAGACTAAACACAGAAAGGGTTTAAAAGTGGGGTGGTGGGACCCGAAGCTCCAGCCAGGGCTGACCCTGTTCCTATGTCTCATAGCCTGGCTACACCTCCAAGTCCAGCCAAAATCTGTGTTTGAAGGAGACACACTGACTCTTCAATGCCAGGGATGGAAGCACATAAGAGTATCTCAGGTGAAGTTCTACAAAGATGGAAAATTCCTTGATTTCTCTAAAACCAGCAAGACTCTGTCCATAGAGATGGCAACAATGAAAAGCAGTGGCCAGTACAAATGCACTGGAGAGGTGATGTATATCACACCTGGGTTCACACAAACATCAGCCACTATCATGGTTCAAGTTCAAGGTGAGTCACCAGCTAGGCGTCCTATTGGGACGGTGGGGTGCTGCTCCAGGATCCAGTTTTTATAGGTCAGAAGCTCTCTGGGAAGACCACACTCTCTGATGTTGGGACAACGCATGGTATCCTGAGAGTCCATGATGCTATTCAAATGTCCCCTTTTTTCCCATGGGGCAATCTGGAGCCAGGGGAAAGAGGAGGAATTAGGAAAAGTCCTGGACCAGCTCAGTCACTCACCCTTCACCTTCATGGATGAGATGACCACTGAGAGCTCTTCTGGCTCTGATATTTGGGATTCCAGAGGGACTTGGCTGGGTGGGAGTTATTTCAGATCTCATGGGTGAGGACAAGATAGCAGGTCTTGGAAATGAAACTCTCCCACCTTAGTCTTGGACCTTCTATCTGGGCTGTGTTGAAGCTCAGTCCTCAATCTCCCAGGCCTCACTGTCCAGGACTTCCTTCCTGAGCCCTGGGCCTGTGTCTCCACAGAACTGTTCCAGACTCCTGTGCTGAGTGCTGTCCCCTCTCTGGAACCCCATGAGGGAAGCATGTTGAATGTGACATGCAAGACAAAGCTGCACCCCCAGAGGTCATCCTTGAAGCTCCTCTTCTCTTTCTATAAGGATGGCAGTACCTTGCAGGACAGGTGCTACAACCCAGAACTCTACATTCCAGAAGTCAAGGAGGGAGACTCTGGACTTTACTGGTGTGAGGTAGTCCCCAAGGGTAGCCGAATTCAGAAACAGAGCTCCTGCCTGGAGATCAGGGTGCAAAGTAAGTGGGTAAGGGAGGGGAGACACTCCCCAGGGGTCCAGGCACCAGGAAATAGGACCCTCTGGGAATAGAGAAGGATAACCCAGGGAGGAGAAAGCCTGGAGAGTCAGGTTGACTTTCCTACCCCATGTGCCATCTCAGCTCCGGTGTCCCGTCCTCTGCTCACTCTGCAACACAGGGCTGCTGGCCCTGCTGTGGGAGACATGGTGGAGCTCCTCTGTGAGTCCAAGAGTGGCTCCCCTCCTATCCTGTACTCATTCTACCTTGATGGGAAGATGCTGAGAAATGACTTGGCTCCCCATGGCAGAGCCATCTCCCTCCTCTTCCGAGTGAAGTCAGAGCAGGATGCTGGAAACTACTCCTGTGAGGCCAGGAACAATGTCTCCAGAGAGAGGAGTGAGCCCAAGGAGCTCTCCCTGAATGGTATGTTTTCTCCAAATCAAACAAGCTGGCTGGGACCAGATCTCACTGGTTCCTGTGATAATCCATTGCAGGCTCTGCTGACTGAGCACGAACCCTGCTTGAAAGTCTGTCAACTGAATGTAGCAAACCACTGTGGGAGGTGTTAAATAGTTATCCATGGCATGACTCAGTCATGCTAGCATCCTCTGAGCCTTCCTTCTTTCCCATCTACAAGGCTCCTCCAGGGCAGGTGGTTCTCCTAAGACCAACCATTCTTCCTCTTCTGTGCCAGTCTGGGATGCATTTCTGAATTTCATCCTCATGCTTATGATCACTTCCCCTATACCAGGTTCTCAAGTCTCATCCACCTTCACCAGCTACAATTGGCTGGTTGCCTGGCTACTGGGGAGCCTGCTTGGTGTAATGTTTATTGCTGCTGCACTCCTAGCTTATTTCAGACACTGGAGAAAAACCGGTTAGTAACTCTTTTTGGCTTTCTTGGTTGCTAAACCTCTATGTCAGGCACTACCAGCCTTTAAGAAACCAAAGCCTGACAAGGACCAGCCATTCTCTTCTCCTGATTGCCAGGTGGGAAGAGGAACTTCTCTTCACACAGAGGGGCACATGAAGGGACACTTACTGTCAAAACATATGCACACACAGACACACTATCTCACATACTCACAATCACACAGAGATACACACTAACAGACTATTGTATACTCAGACATGAATAGAAGCATGAACTAGGGAAGTCTAACAAGTCAAATATGATGTATATTGGTGCCCTTTGCATTAGAAAGACAATCTGTGACTTTAAATATGACTAAAAATACTCATGGCCTTTCAACTCACTCTCTCTGTCTCTCTCTAAACTCAGCTGAACTTTGGTCTGTTAAGTAGAGGAGAAAGAATAAATGAAAGTTAGAGGCATAAATTCATGCTCACACACACACACTCATCTTGTACAGTGCTGTGTCTTTGGTGGACATTCAATGGATGTTGACATATCAGAAAGGAAATGTGATAGAGAGGACTGAGCTATGGGTTGCTCCCAACACTACTATTTACTAGTTCTGTAGCCTTAGGCCAGCTCACTCTAAGATTTACTAAATTATTACCCTCTCTGGGATGTTGGAGGGTTTAAGTTAATGAGATAATACCTAATACCTAATGGATTCAAGTGAAACATAGTAGGCACTTAGTAAGTTCTCATTCTATTCCAAGCAGATCACCCCAGCAGGTTCTCACAGATGCCCTTTCTCCTGCTGTTCATTTCTTGATTCCTCTAATCAGTCATTGAAAATAAAAAGGTTGGTTAAAATTCTGATGTAGAGGGTTCTATAGAGAGGAAGTGAAAACAATCAGATAAATGGAATTTGTACTATTTATTAATTTTGATATCCCAAACCCTCTTCTTCTTCCTGTCTTACTAGTAATAATTAAACATGAATGTTGGCTTTCAAAGCAATCACTTTGGGTGGCTACATGTTATTCCAATTCAAACCTTATTAGTTTAAGGCCACATTTAAAGGAACAGCTATCAGTGCCAAAGTTGTTTGGTGCCAATTTGTTCCTAGGGCTTTAAATCCACCTACAGAAGTTAAAAATGAACCCTACCTCCTCCTCCATGGGGTCAATGTTCTTGTTTTCTAAGTGATTGCTCTCATAGACCTCCAAAGCTAGATTTATATATTCAAGTTTTCAGCTCCCTCTGTTTAAGGAAGTTATGATGAGCTTTCTAGGAGCTGATCCAGCTTAGTCATCAAGGAAGACCACCTAATCATGAATCCAAAGAACTCCCCCCTGACCATCAGCCAGGGGCTCTGAAAAATATTCTCCCCCAGCCCTGGACTCAATCTCTTGCCTCCTTGGCACTCAGTTAGGGTTTGAGTAACAGTCTTCACCTGTCCAACTTCCCATCACTCTCTTCCTGCCAGTCTTAAGTCTGAATTCTATTCGGGCTAGATTTGCTTAAGGTATTGTATGACAAAGGTGGAGACAGGCCCAGAGTTAGATTGGGAGACATCTGGAGTAAGAGATGAGAACCTGAACATCTGTGAGTTCTACCACCCCTGCCTCTGTCATAAAGCCTCCTGAAAAAGGCCTGGCCTGGCTTCAGTAACACAGGCATTTCTGTGCATTCATCACAGTATTAAAAACAGAAAAACTTACACAACCACCTCTCTCCTAATCCCAGACAAGAGAGTGGAGGATCAGTCATTAGTGAAAGATCCTCAAGAGAATGATGCCTGTTGCAAGGAACTAAAGAGCATCCCTCTCTATAGAGAGATTCTATACCACCGCCACCATGGCCAACTTGGTAGTGGTGGGCTTCACTTTCCTGAGGCAAGTTCACTCTCATGAAAACAGGACTCCTGGTGGTGGTCCTGGTATCTCACAATCTTAGGAACACAAACTTTTCTTTAGAATATCACACAGAAATCTATTTCAGGCCAAATTTCATAGCTACACAAGAAAAATTGCCAATCAATTACTTTATTATTTATACCCAGCTCTAGAAGACTCTTAACAGTTTCTAAATTTCATATCCATTCCTCAACAACCAACAGTATGCCATGGCCAAGATATTCAAAAGCCTAAAAATCTAGGGCAACTTTCAAAACATATTGACCAATGATGGTGTCACTGGAACAAGGACGTGGTCATGCAAGGGGTCCGCTTCAAAGTAACATTCATCTACATGTACAAATTTTGGTTTTTTCTAAACTGTTCATTTTACTATTGCCATAAAATGAAGTTCCATTGAACTCATGGAACTCTTTGTTGGATAGAGACTCAGAAGCACAGCTCTGACAAATGAGCATTAGAGAATATTTAATAATCAGGGGCCTGTCTGAGTCTCCATAAATGCCCTCTTGGTTTTACAGAAAGGGCCATTTCCATAGGCCCCACCTGATTATTTTGAGACTTTCTTACTGTTAGAGCAAACGAATGTTTCTCAGGCATGAACCAAGTGTTCTAAAGTCCACATGTATCACAATTCCCACCCCAGAAGTTAATTTTCACTTCTGGAAGCATCTGCTCTCACAGAGGCAGCATGCTAGTGAAGAAAAAGCATATAACCTGTAGTAAGATCTGTCTCGACCACTGACTGTGACCTTGGAGAAGTCACCTCTCACAGCCTCAATTATTTCATCTATCAAATGGAGATAATAGCATCTACCTTCGTAAGATGACTATAAAAAATATCAGATACCAGTGAATTAGTAAGGGAGGGAAGTTTTCTTGAAATCCAACTATGTACTGGTCACCGGGTTAAATGCTTTGCTAGGAAGTAGATATTTTACTTAAAACTCCTGGTTGTATGTCTGGCACATAGTATGTGGTCAAAATTATCAGCTTTTTCTTGTCTGAAAAGCACCCTGGCTAGTGGGCTTCTGCCCTATCCATACAAGGGTGTGACCCATCCTTTCTGACTCTGCTTCCTCCCAGTTTGTGATTCCCATGGAGCCTTCCTATCCTCTAGAGTATTTTTCAAAGAAAACATCTCATAAAAATTAGCCATGTCCAGACCTGTGAGTGAATTAGCCCTTATAAACACACTGCCTCCAGCAGCTCCACCACCATCCTTCTCACAGCCTCTGTGTCCCAGTACACCACCTATTTATAATGGAAGTTCAGTGACTTGTGCCTTTGTGTCTCCTAGAGCCCCTTTCAGCCCAGAATCCACCCCCAGCTCCAGGTGGAGAGCAATGCCCACTGTATGACAATGGTAAGAACTTCCAGCAGGACCATGATGTATCCATGAAGGCAGAGAAGGGACTCTTATGGGGAATAAGGAGGCCCCTTGCACCCCAAAGTCATCTAGGTGAAAAGGAGATGATAGCTTCTGGAAAGACCTTAAGGAGTGCTGTGGAACTGGTGGTAGGAGAGGGAGGCAGGAAGAGAGACAAGACTCCAGGAGAGAAGGCAAGGAAAGTTTAGACCAAAGGTTGGTGAACCATGACCATAGACCATACACAGTCCATTGCCTATTTTTGTAAATAAAGTTTTAATGGAAACACGCCCACACTCACTTGTTCATGTATTCTGCATAACTACTGTCATGCTACAGAACTGAATAGTTGTGACAGAGATGATATGACCCAAAAAGCCTAAAATATTTACCATACTTTTCATAGAAAAATTTTGCCAACCTTGGGTTTGAACAATGTCAGGGCTAAGGAAACAACTAAAATCTGCTGAGTGGGCAAGTACCTTCTACTGTATTGGATATCCTCACTTTCATGACAGAGCCCTACTGCTAGTTCTCACCATAACAAAGTCACTGATCAGGTTCCCTCAGTAAGTATCTTCAGGGTACATACACTTGAGGTGGGAGAATCGGGCACATCCTATTTAAACCTTATTTCTTCTTCCAGCACATCACCAGCAAGAGAAAGATGAAGATGTTGCCTATTCAGTGGTGTATACAATCTCAAAAAGGAACAAAGGTAAGTGATCTCAGGCCAACTTGATATGTTTGCTGAATGGAAATTCTGGGCCTAAGTTTACAGTCTTGTTACCACTACCATAATTACCATTAGCACCATTTCCACTACTGCTATCATGAATACCACTTTATTTACCACCAATATTATCACTATCATCTCCTTACCCACCATCATGACCAGCACCAACTCCTCCTTCACTACTGCCACCACCTTCCCACCATGATGACCACCACTAACTCCTCCTTCACTGCCATCCCCACCGTAAACACCTCTCTAACCGTAACAACACTGTCAATGTTATCTCTACCACCACTGTTACCATAACTATGGAGATATTTTTTTTACCTTTTTTGGTCACTGCAGAGAATCAAAGGAAAGAGAGGAGAGAATGATGCATTTTGTCTTAGTTCCAGAGTCTTAAATCCAGATAGTACAGTTCCAGCTATAAGGTGGAGTTAAGAAGACCATGAGCTCCAGCCATATCTATCACAGTCAAATACAAAGAAAAGGGCAATGTGTCCTTATGGGAAGGGTGTGAATCTCTGAGTCAGAACTGAGTTCAAAATCTGACTATATGTTCTTACTGTGTGACTTGGCAAGTCATGTAACATGTTTGACTCTAATTTGTAACATGTATACAATGCTTACTTTAAAAGATTACTATAAATTGTTAGGAATAGAATCTAGGTTATAGGAGTAAACCTTAAAGATTATCTAGCATGTAATAGGTGCTCAAAAAGATGAAGCAGTTTTGTCATTTGGGTTTTTTAATGGCTTACTTGATCTGAGATTTTGATTCCTGGTCTATAAAAATGGTTTGAATCAGCCTGAGGTTTCTGTACCTCCGCATAAAGACAACTAGGGAAGTGAACAGCCAAGGATTCTCTTGACTCAGGGTAGCTCCCCAGAACCTGGCTGGTTACTACCCAAAGCATTGTCAGGGCACATACAAAGGCAGACATGGACTGAGAAAAGTTACAGTGAGAACCTAAACATAAGCAAGTAAAAAAGACACTGACCTCAGAATATAAGACAAAATGTATACTGATTAGCACACTCTATTTGCAAAATAAGGAAAATCTGAGATTTTTAATCCTAATAGGGCAACAAGGGTAAAGCATAATTTGTAGTGGGATGATTAACTGGTAATTATTTCCAATTCACACCTACTCTAAGCAGGCTTTCCTGATGTGAGGCTGAAGGGATTTGAAACCCAAAGTAAGAAGAGGCCATTATGCTCTAAGATATTTAGGAAAGAGGATACTGCATCTCTTGCCATTCAGAAAATGCTTCATAGTTTATAAAGATTTAGTATTTGCCTACAGTTCCACTTCTTATAACAGTAGATCTTTTCATTGCAATATGAACAGGAATTAGTAATTCCTACTTTGCAGGACTGATGTGAGATTAGATATAATAAATATAATCCTCATACCTAAAAGGCAGTCTGATATACAGTAGGGGTCTAATGCGGCAGTTATTTTAAAAGCATATTTTATACTTTTATCTCTCTTGAATCTCACTATCATCTTTGTGAGGAAGTTGTTACCACCACCCCTTTTTTGGCTGAGAAATCTGAGATTCAGAGGCTAAAGTGACTGGTCTATGATCACAGATTTGGTGATAGCCAAATTGAGACTAGAACCCAGGTCTCCTGATTTTAGACTGAATAGAAGTAAAAATGATGTTCCATGGGATGGATCCATGATTACCAAAGGAAGAGGGATGACAAGGAGGAGGTGGGAAGGAGATGTGCTGATGAGAACAGATACCCTAACCTGACTCCCTGTCTTTCCCCTTCAGAGAGACCTGTTGAGGACTTCACCTCAGAGGGAAAAGTGAGTAGGGATCCCTGCTCCTTTCTTACCCCATGTCTCACATCTGTTTATTCATCCTGTTCCAACTTTCCCATAGGACACGTCTATCGTCTACACAGAGGTGAGATGTCCACAGCTCAGTGAGACTTCCATCAAGGAGTTGAAGTAGGACCTACCAAGATCCACTTGGTCATTATAAGGATATTCTCTACTAGTGATGGCATCCCCTTCCAAAATATACCCATCTCTAGCCTTCAGTGCTCCCTAGTGGTTCCCTAGCCCCTTTTATGTGTCCTCTAATTCCTGAACCCAGTAGTGAGAGAGCCTCTATGCTCTTGTCCTGGCCAGGAGCTACTGAACTGCAGGTTCCCCTCTTAGAAGAAGACCAAATAATGATGCAGGGAAGGACATCCCCACCCCCAGCATCACTACTTAGGTTCCAGCAGTAACACTGGATATAGAGCCAGAAGTCTTCTTTCTACACAAGTGGAAGAGTTCATTTCCCTTTCTCTCGATAGATAGATACATACATAAATAGATACATAGATAGACAGATAGATAGATAGATAGATAGATAGATGATAGACAGAAGAGAAAGAGAGAGTGTGTGCTTAGTTTGAATCTCAAAAGAAAGAGTATCAGTCTCCACACTCTAGGGCAGGCAACTCTGTAATGAAGTTCCAACTTTTGAGCTGCTACTGAGGCCCATGAGCTACCACAGGACTAAGGGGCCCCTCAGAAGTTCAGTAAGACCAAGGTCAGCTATGAAAGGGTCTAGCATAGACAATGTCATACAGTCCTTGACAACAGGGCCAGACCTCTGTAGGCACCAAGGACCCCGCTTTCACATTCAGACCTTCTTTTCTCATTTACCACAGAGAAAACTGAGGCTCACCCAAAGCCCCCTTTTGAGAAGTACATCAGAAAACTCATTTACCTTTTACTAGTTTAAAAAGTTATGTGGTTGTAAAATCTATTTTGTTAATACAAAATACATCAACTTGTTTTGCATTGTTCATCAATATCGGTCATTTACAGTGCCTGACCATTGGGTCTGGTTTACTCAAGGAGTTCACACTCCTTACTGATTGAGTGGTCAATAATGATTAGCTACATTTGTTCCTGTGGGGCCCTGGCCCAGCTTCACAGGCTTCTGCTCCGGAATCACAGAGAGTAAGGTCAGAATCACAGGCAGAAATTGCATCACCCATTTCATTCACCAGTGTTATCAGAGAGCTCCTGGCACCATGGAACTGCTAAAATCACATCAAGTCTCCCCAGACAAGCAGCGTCGGCATCAACTGGGAGCTTATTAGAAATGCAGCATTTCAGACCCAGTCCCAGACTGGGTGAATCATAATCTGCATTTCAAGAAGATCCCCAGGCAATGTGCATGTGTATTAAAAGTTTTTTAAAGTTCTGGTCTACCTATATTAGGGGAGTACAGCCATCCACTCATCTTTGGGACTTAACTGCTTGTGGTACCACTCTCGATGAAGACTGAAAGGCACAGGAGAACTAATAAGACAACCCACACTAGCCTTTCTTTTCATTTTTCTTCTATTCTCTTTTCCTCCTTTCCTTTTCCCAGTCCAGCCCCTTTCCATCTGACCAGCATGAACCAAACAATCTAGAAGGACAGGGACTTCATAGGTCAGCCAGGGTGCACAGCAGAACCCAAGCTCTTGCCCCTCCTTAAATAGAAGGATTGCCCCCTAGTAAAAAGTTGACATAGACAAATCAGTTCATGAAGGAAAACACTGATGATAGTTGTCCACATGGACCACATACCTCCCCCTTCTTCCTGAGCTGTCCTATCTTCCCCTCTTCTATACCAGTAACACTCAACATATGACCCATAACCCAGTGCTGGTCTGTGAATTGCTTTTTACTTGTCTGTGACAAGAAAAGTAGAAATATTACAGCGAGAATTTAGAGACTTTTATAACAATTTGACAGTAATTTCACGTTTGTTTAATACAATCATAAAAAACTAGGACTTGTATTTTGTATGTATGCTTTTTTATTTCATTTTTCTAGTAATTTGCTTTTATTATGCTCCACAAAATTATAGGTCTGCAATGGATTGGATATAAAAAAAAGAAAAACAGGTCCTTCAGCCCACACGGGTGAGAAGTCCTCTCTACACATACTGACACATGCTCCCATTCTCTCTCACACACCCCACTGACAGGCTGCTCAGGCACTTGGCTCTCTACCCTAAATCCCTCCACATTCCCAACTCTGTTTATGCAGCTGAAAACATCATTTCCCCCTTAGTTTAGAAAAGAATAAGCTAGAATTTTTTCACAATGAACCATTACTAAGAAAATTAAAAAAAAAAAAAGCCAAAAGCACAAAGAGAAAGTTGAGCATCTGGAGGAGAGCCATTTTCAGCCCCTGCTCTCACTGTTTTGTGGTATATCAGCGCACCCAGCCCCAAAGCTCCATGTTCAGTCCTGCTGTGGGAATAGGTACCTGCTTCTGCTCCTGGAGGGTTCTGGGGGGCCAGGGGCAGGGCCATCTCCCAGGGAGATTGCTATAGTCGTGTTTCTCTAGGGGTAGAACCTGTTACACTGGGAACCAGAGAGTGCTGTCTGCCTCAGGCCCCTGAGCACACTAACCACGGGATTACCCAACTGCACCTCCACACATCTGCACTGTGAAACAAATCTTTTGTCTTTTCCTTTCCAAGTCAGAGCTAAATACAAGCATTTATCTAGCCAAATGAATTGTATGTGCCTTTTCTAGGGACCTGGACTCTGTGGGGTCACGTTACCTAAAAGGCAAAGAGAGAGGAAAGAACTCAATAGCTGGATTGAGGGTAGAGAAGCAGTGTGGAGTGCCCTCAGGGAGAAAAAGAAACCCACAGTTGGGAGCCTCGTGGCTTTCCTCTGGCGGCCCTCTCAGTTAGTCGAGAACTGACACACCACCTACAGGACAGTCTGGCCCATTCATTGGACAACTCCATTGTATGATATGACTAGACACGCAGTTCTTGTTTTGTATGTGACTATTCAATGCAGATACAAGCCAAAAATTAAACATGGTCCTTCTGTGATCCAAGAGAATTATATGCATTGGAATTTCTGTCAATTCCAGGTTTATTAGATTTGGCTAGGAAATAAGGTCTACATTTTTATTTAAATGAGCATCCACTAAGCAACTCTGTGATCTTCATCTTTGTGTTAACTTTGATGACATTGACCACAGACAGGCTGTAGTCAATGGGAAAATCCCATCTGATATGGAGTATTTTGTGTGCCTTCACATGTCCATATTTTCTTCTGCATTGCCGGAAACAGCTGCAGCTGGCAGGACTGGAGCCATCAGCAGGTCCACATTGCTCTCTGTGCTTTGTTCTTTCAAAGTCTAAAAGAAAAGCCCATGTTCTACTTAGTTCTGGAATTCTTTCCCACGTGGGGAACAGATCAATAATGACTGGTTCTTCTATCATCAATACATGATCACAATCATCATCCACATGAGTTTCTGACCTCCTGGGGCTTTCACATGCTCCATGCTATATAAATGTTTGTTTGATGTGTTAGTGTGTGCACAAAATGAGAATCTAACAAGTGTCTGGTGAAGGAGTGAATTCGTGAATGAGCTTCCAGTTTCCCCGTCTACCTCAATAAAGCACAAATGTGGCTTTGTTTCCTTTTTATGTCGCCTTCCTTAAAATCTCTGGGAAGGTGTGTTGTTGCACCAAAAATAGAGCTAACCTAAGCTGCAGACTCCTCCCACCCGTTCTCCATCAGGTGTTCCCTCCCACTTGCTCTTCTTTCTCTCTTCCCACTTCTTTGCTCCATCTGTGTGCACCATGCCTGTAGCTCATTAAAGACTCCATACCTTCCCATCTACTTCCCACAGAGCCAGGACCAGGGTGAGACAGGAGAGGTGGCACAAGCCAAAATTAAAGGACGTAGTGAGACTCAGGACTAAGCCAGTGCCATCTCACTAGAGGGTACATTCATTTCACACCTGCAAAAATTCAGCAATGGTGGGTTTTCTAAGTGGCAGAAGCAGCACTCCTTCTAGAGTGTTTTGCCTCAAACCCAGTCATACCACAGTTGACTTGCCATACCACAGTTACCTAAGCTGGCTGGCTGGGGAGGTACTGCTAGGACCTCTGGCATGGTGTGGTGCTGGCCAGTTATGCAGGTGGAACTCGGGTGGCACTGAAGAACAAAATTTCAACAAATGTGGCTAAATGATCTAATTGATTTTTATTAATAATTCATGACTGGGGTAACAACCCATCTACAAGTTCAGTAACAGTATTCCAATGAGCTGAGCAGAGAAGTCGAGTCAGGCTTTACAGGCAGAAAGGGCTGGAGCAAACTGAAACCAGGATCAAAACGTGGACTGGTGATTTCAAAGTTACTCTCCTGATAGAGTTAAACCAAGGGGACTTCTTTAGGCTCAGGTAAACTGGTCCCATTCTGATTGATTGCTGTGAATTTCTTGATTTTTGGGAACTAGCCTTTTTTTTTTATTGTTTTATTATTCATATGTGCATACAAGGCTTGGGTCATTTCTCCCCCCTGCCTCCACCCCCTCCCTTACCACCCACTCCGCCCCTCCCTCTCCCCCCACCCCCTCAATACCCAGCATAAACTATTTTGCCCTTATCTCTAATTCTGTTGAAGACAGAGTATAGGCAATAATAGGAAGGAACAAGTGTTCCTGGTTGAGATAAGGATAGCTAAACAGGGAGTTGACTCACATTAATTTCCTGTGCGTGTGTGTTACCTTCTAGGTTAATTCTTTTTGATCTAACCTTTTCTCTAGTTCCTGGTCCCCTTTTCATATTGGCCTCAGTTGCTTTTAAGGTATCTGCTTTGGGATCTAGCCTGTTTAAAGAACAGTTGGATTACGTGCTATCTAGCGGGAGTGACTCCATTCTAAATTGGTCTGGTCAGGAGCTCAGTCCAAAACAATATCCCTTTTAAGTTCCATTGAACAGTGGGGTTCTTGAGCAGGTTCTACCTGTCCCCTTCAGCCCCAGTCCCACATATGCCATCAAAGCTGTACCCAGGGGTCTACCCTCTCCATACCCTTGTCCTCTCCCAGCACCCTGGTCTCCCCAGAAGTCTGCACCTCTTACGCCTCTGCACCTCCTACGCCTCTGCCTCCTTTCCTGCCTAATTCCCCTCTCTCAACTCCTCAAGCACCCCACCTTCTTTTCCTTCTCCCCTTGGAGAAGCATGGCCCCATTCTGCCCTCCTGGACAGGGCATCTCAGGCATGGTTTGGCACATCCTCACTCAAATACCATCGGGCCTGAATATTTGCATCAAGCAATTCAGGGTTAATGGTCAAATTCAGGTAGGTTGTTTGGCCAAGGTTAACACCTGCTCCCCAACCCCTTCCTGCAGCTCACAGTGGAGGTGGGCTAGTGGTGGGATACAGACTTCTCCACATGGCAGATGGAGCTACAACCATGCCGGTCTCAGCACGCACAGACTTTGCTGGCTCTGGCTTCCCAACAAGGCCCCAGGGAGCAGAGTAGCAGCCCTGGCTGCCAGCTGCTCTCTTAATTAAGGAATGCAGGGAGGGGCCCCTTTGAACTCACCTGCTAATTTACTTTAGCACACTCCCCCCTGTGGCTGGGTAATTAATGTGGTGTGAACCAGTGATTAGCAGTGGTGGGGAGAACCTGCCTGCCGCAGACTTAACCCTTCCCTGCACCTCAGAAGAAGTACTGCCTTCTTCAGCCCATCTTTCTCCAGCAGTCACTCAGATTGACTAAGATTTTTCCCTTTGGAGAGGTGGGATATTTTCTAGTCCTGATCAAACTTCCTCTTCTTCCCCTCAGCTTTCACAAAATTCCCTTAAAGGAACAGGTCTATGAGGTGGCGGGGGTGGGGGGGCGGGAGGAAGAGCTAGAGGACCACTAGGAACAACCAATTTTGCTAAGAGGCTTAATGACTGTTCACTGTCTCCTCCAAAGAATTCAGGATCTGGTCACATGCCAGCCCCACTCCTGCACCCCCAGTCCTCCCTGTCCCAGGCCTTGACACTCCAGGAACATTCCAGTCAAGTTGGCAGATGCTTGCGGGATATTCCCTCCTGGAAAGCCTGTCCTTGGAAATGGGCAGGTGCTGAAGTGAAGGGGACCAGTCCCTGCCCTTGTGGGGATCCCAATCCAGGAGAAATGAGTCAGAGCAGGGTACTGCTCAGTCTCAAACACACCTCTATCTTCACTACATGGCTTTCCCCTCTTCCCTGTCTGTGGCCATTTAGTAGCAATGTTTCCCATTTGAGGGCTTACTGTACACCAGACCCATTGCAAACCTTGGCAGGTGTTCATTGAAAACACTCAAAGATAGATTCTCTTAGCACACTGTAGCACAGAAATCACTGATCAGGGTTTCACAGCCAAGATTCAATCCCAAATCTAACTTTAGAGCTTAAGTTCTTAATTTCTACTCTCATCCATTTGAACTGTATGGCTCAGTACAAACACCAGTCCTGCCACAAAGCCTCCCTCAGCCTCCCACCCATCCAGGCTGGGCAGGCCTTTGCCCTCTGGCTCACATAGCATCCTGTGCACACTTCTGGCATTGTTCTTGAACATTGATTATAATTATTGGGTTACATACTCCATCTCCTCCTCTAAACTTTGAATTCCTGGAGGGCAGGGGCTAAGCCTTTCATCTCTGTGTCCCCAGCACCTGGCACCCAAGTAGATGCTCAATAAATGCCTGATGAATGGATGACAGAATTGGCAACAGAGTCATAAATGATTCCCCTCTCTTGGCCTCTGTCCTACAGCCAGGCAACTTCCAAGTTCTCCACAAACTTCTGCTCTGTCCCTTTCTCTCTACTCCAGGTTATTTCCTTCTTAGTTATGGCCCTTTTTTTCCAGGACTATCAACAGCTGTTGTCCAGGCTTCCCTGCCTCTTCTTTTTCTGCCACCTCCTCTACATGCTGTCCTCTCACCAGCTCAAAATGGACAACCCCCTGCCTCCAAGTAGTGTTTCTCAGAGCATTCCCTCAGTCTACTAGCTTCACACTCCCCTGGAGCACAGTGCATGTTAGAATAAAGATTCCTGGGGCCATCCCTGCCCACTGAGCCACCATCCCTGAGGACCATAGCTTAACCCAGTATTCCAGACCTCTATAATCTGAGCTCAAACTCGCCTTCTATTCTTCCCACTTCAGTCCTAAAGGACCCCCTCCCTGCTGTCCCTCCTCATCCTCCACAGCTTACTTGGTACTTTTCCCACCACTGAGTCTGCAAACTCAGCTCCCTCCCTCATGCTCCAAGCCTACCCAAACCTCTTCTTTTTCTTTCCTAGCTCTTGTTTTGCTCTTCCTAACTATATCATGACAAATGCCACCTGCTCAGGAGATATCCCCTGCCCAGGTCCACAGAGCCTCTTCCCAGTCCCCTCCTGTAGCACTGACTGCCTGGGTAGCCCATTTGCAAAGTCAAAAGGGCCTGTCTGTGGGTAGCCCTGGCATATCTGTTTCTACATTTTGGTTATGAGTGCCTGGAGGACAGGAACTTTATCCCCAGACTCTTCAGCTCACCAGCACCCTGCATCCTATATGCCTAGTTCCTGGCTGAGTTCAAAGCATGATGTCTAGTTTGACTGAAAGGTCAGAGGCTACACAAGACCAAACACAATGAACCACACTCAGGATAACCAGGAATATTTTTCAAAGGCAACATCTTGAAAAGTCTTCTGGAACATCAGAAACCAAGTAACTAGCTGTGAAAGGAGAAACTGTGCAGAGGGGGCATCTGTGGCAAAATGGGCCACATTCTGCCCCTCTGTGACCTCAGCAAGGTACCTAACCTCACGCTGCCTTTAAATTCTCACATCTCTAACAAAGCCACAAGAAAGTCTTTTCTAAGAACAGTCATGGGGCTTACATAAAGCAAAATGGGTAGCCATGTCAGCATTCATTCACTCATTTAATATTCATTAAACATCTATAATGTATCTGGCATCAAGAAGAGCCTCACTGGCTAACCAGTCTGTGAAAGCCAGAAAGCTGCTACAGGCAACACGCTAAGGACAATGAGGAAAGAGTGTGTGCACACAGGGGAACAGAAAGAAAGGTTCTCACCCTATCTGAAGCCAGGAAGCCTTGAAGGACAGCCTGGCTAAGCACAGACCTGAGCCCAGTCTGCAAGCATAAATGGAGCAGCATGCCTGGTGAAGGAACAAGTGGAAGAGTAAAATGGGTGGTTCTGAAAAGAAGTAGTCCTGACTGGGATGGCTAGAGAGCAAAGTGGATGTGGGCAGCCAGCCTGGAGAAGCCAAAGAGCCACTAGAGTTCAGTCTTTATCCTGAGGGCAGCAGGAAGCCATGAAAGAATTTTAGCAGAGGGGAAGTGACTTGATCTTGATCGAAACTACAGTTCAGAGACTCTCTGTGGCTGTATGGAGAGCACAGATAGCTGTTGGATGAATCAAGGCCTGGTGACCATCAGCAAGCTGCACAAGGGCTGTGTGGGTGTGCTTGTCCCCATGCAATGGCCAGCCATGTGCACAGGAAAGAGGCTGACTTACAAGAATCTGCTCCTGAAAGCCCAGCTAAGCCAGGCAGGCCTGCAAGCCACTTCCACTTTATTATGGATATTTTCACTTTCGGGACATCTTGTTCTGAGTCAAGATTCTTCCTTCTGAACGTGGGACTTTCCAGAAGGACCACAGCTCCTTCTGTGTATCCACTTGGCCTCTGATGTTCTAGATTTGGGTTACTGAGGGAGTTTGCCTGCCTCTCTGGAGGAAGATGGCCATGTGGTTCCTGTGGAGTCTGCTTCTCTGGGGAGGTAAGTGGGACAAGTGGACAGCCTGTCCTCAGACAGCCCTGAAGGCCCCTCCCCAGCTGCCTTGCCAGACCTCTGTGCAGGCCCCTCCCAAGCCAAATGAGGACCAGGAGCTGAGGAGGGATAAAGAAGAGTGAAACAAGTTCTTGGGCAACATTTAAAACTAGCAGACACAAAAGATGTAGGGTCCTGGGTGGGAGAAAGTAGCAGCACTAGAACCACCTAAGTCCCTAAGGCACAATCTGTTTTGTGGTCTAGGACATTTAGAACTGAACCAGTGGTACTGCTGGTTTGGAGAGAAAGTGGGATGTAGGAATGGTGAGACTCCAGCAGTGTGAACATGTGGGAATTCTATATTTAGTCTACGGAGAGAAAAAGAGGGCAGGATAGAGCTGGATTCCCAACAATCTGAGGAGTGTGTTCTCAGCAGCCTGTGGGAATTCTGGGGTCTCTCTGCAGCCTGTACAGGGAAGGTGGATTTTGAGTAGGGAGGAGAGATGGGAGTATCTTAAGCAGGTTCATGAGGACTTGGGGATGGCCAGTGATGGTGTGATGTTGGAATTGATGAGATGTGGGGGCTCTTCGACATTGGACAACACCTCCATCAGTCTGATGCTTGAGTTCCCCTCTTTGGTCAACGAGTAGTCAACATGACAAAGGGTCTTCCCCTGCAGGGGCAGGGATGGGAATTGTGTGATATGGCAAAGCCCAAGACACTGTTGTTTACTTCAGAACTCAGGCTGTTTTGTTCAGTGTCCCTACCCAAGTTCCTGGCCTGAGGCTCCAAAAGCCCTGCAGATTTCTTCAGCATTTCTAAATGTGTGTGGGAATTCACACCTTAGCTCTCAAATGGCCTCGGTCTGTTTGATTCCCAAACTTGTTAAGTCATTGGACATGTGAGGATATTGTCCTAGCATTGGATATGTGGACTTTTAAAAAATAATATTTATGGAGAGGATAAATTCAACTATGATATATTGTAAGAACGTTTGTAAATGTCACAATGTGCACCCAGCACAATAATAAAAAGGAAAAACAAGAAAATTTTTTAAAAATGACAACCATTTTTGTTTTTTCTTACACATGCTATAACTCTATGCACCAAGCTATATCCCCAACCCTTAAATAATTTTTCTTTTTTTTTTTGGTGATACTGGGGTTTGAACTCAGAGCCTCACATTTGCTAGGCAGGCTCACGACCACTTGAATTCTTTTTGCTTTAGTTATTTTTCAAATAGGGTCTTGCAGCTTTTGCACAGGTTGGCCTGGATCTCAGTCTTCCTATTTTACACCTCCATATAGCTGGCATGACAGGTATGCATAGGTCATGCAATAACATTCAATTTATTGTTTGAGATGGGGTCTTGCTAACTTTTTGCCATGGTTGGCCTCAAACTGCAATCTTCCCAGTCTCTGCCTTCCAATTAACTGGGATTATAAGTGTGAGCCACCATCCATGACTAAAAGGGCTCTCTATGGAAAAAGAGACTAATACAACTGATATGGCATAGCCTTTTGTTTTACAGGCAAGACCACTGAAGCTTAGAGAGGGAGGATCATATGTTGAACGTCACACAGTTGGTTTGTGGCAGAGCTAAGCCAGGATAAAACCTGGGTCTTGAATGGCATCCACTTTGCATTTACATTAAATACATTTTCAGTCAGGATAGAGATGACTAGGGCCAAGGACGGCCGTGAGATGGGTGCACGACCAGCTGAGTGACCATCCAGAACACTTCTCCTCAACCCAGCTCCCAGCACTTGGTACATTACATGTCAGCCCTTATTCTGCACTGCACATAAGTACCTACTTCAGTGCCAGGCACTGGGTGAGTCCTCAGTAAATTCAGTACAGTTTACAGAGCCTCTCCTATATCCTGGTCCTACACAGTGTGGACACTACACGTACAAGGATGAAATAAATTGTTGTTGACCTTGAAGAGCTTATAGTCTGGTGGGAGATACTAACCCAGAATCAGACAAGATTAATAGGATAAGGGTAGCCATAGTGCTAATCCTTGATCACCGTAAGAACACAGAAAGAGAATGTAACCTGCATAATGGAGGGGAGACTGGAGGAAGCAGCAACACTTTAAGAATGGGCAGAAATTAGCTAGAAAAAGAGTCAGGAGGACACTTCAAGCAGAAGTGTCTTCCTCATACCTCAAACTCAAACAGTACCCCCAAAAATCAGAATCTTGCCACCTTATCCCCCTGTGTGTTTCTCCCCCTCTTCCAGACCACAGAGAATGGCACCCCGTGGATCCCAAGGATCTGGAGCCATCTCTAAGTCCTTTTTCTCCTTCACTCTTCAGATCTAATCTATTACCAAATCCTACTGATTGCACCAGTAATCTGTCTTGGTTGATTCCACTTCTCTCCATCCCTCAGCGGCTCCTTTCCTCAGGTCAAATTGCAGTCACCTCTCCCTTGGATTATTATAAACAGCCTCAGTCTTGCCCCACCTTCTATGCATCCTCCACACCTCTTCTGGAGTGATCTTCCTAACAAGAGTCTAATCATGTCACTCTCCTACTTAAAAACTGTCTGAGACCCCCCCACTGCTCTAAGAATAAAAGCCCAAACTCCAATGCGGTTTTCAGAGTCCAGCATGATCTGACTCCCTCCAACTCTGCAGTGTCATTTCCTACTCCCCCTGCAGAGAACCATTTTCAGTTCCCTAGTGCACATGCTCTCTCCCTCCAGGCCCTCTTACTGTTCCCTCTGTCTGTAACACTTCCCCATCCCTGTTTCAGGCAGCCATTGCTTGGCCTGGCTGGTTCCCATTCCTTCTTCCAGTCTCACCTTAACCATTTCTTCTCTGAGCCCCTGAAGGCTGGATGAGGACCCTTATCACCCTACTGTGTTTTCCCAAGACACCCGATTTTTTCCCATCATGGTACTTAGTATACTTTAATTGTTGCTTGCTTGAGTATCTGGATTCCTCTGTGAGGTCTGTGAATACAAAGACTGGATTCTCTTCCTGATTGTTTTATCCCCAGTCCTGGCACAGCACACCCTCAACTTAAGTGGAGAGAGTGTGGGTGGAGGGGTCTTAATTCACTCCAGAGTAGATCAGCTGCATGCAGGCAAGAGATAAAAAGTGACCAGGTGGAGTAACCAGGGTCTCTGTCCTTCCAGCACTACCCATTGCAGTTATCCACACCCAGGTGCTAAGCAAGGTGGGGGGCTCAGTACTGCTGATGGCAGAGCACCCCCCTGGCTTCAAAGTTCGTGAAGCCATCTGGCGATCTCTCTGGCCATCAGAGGAACTCCTGGCCACATTTTTCCGAGGCTCCTTGGAGACTCTGTACCACTCTCGCTTCCTGGGCCGAGCGCAGCTGCACAGCAACCTCAGCCTGGAACTTGGGCCCCTGGAGTCTGGAGACAGCGGCAACTTCTCTGTGCTGATGGTGGACACAGGAGGTCGAGTCTGGACTCAGACCCTGCAGCTCAAGGTGTATGGTGAGTGCGCCTGACACTGGTTCCCTGACACACTCCAGACAGCATCCTGAGCCATGGGACCTGGGAGAGCTAGGTGCCAGAAACCTCTGGTCTCTGACTGCAATGCTAACTCAGGGAACAACTGTTCCCTGGAAGTCACATTTAAGAAAACTCCCCAGATACTCCCGTGTGAACTCCTACCTGGAGTAGCCAGACTTCGCCATCCCAACATCCTTATCTGAACTCCACCGTTTTTTGGCTTAGCCAAAAAAAGCATATAATATTACCATAGATAGTGCCATAAGAGTGAAGTGCAGCAGCATTCACAAAAGCAGATGATGACAGAGCCTGGCCTGTCTATCAATTATAAATCATACCATTATTTTATGTACTGCCGAAAAGTAAAAGAAAAATGTTGCATAATGAAACCCACCAAACATTGTTTGAAAGATGGGGGAAGGGGGAGAGGAGGAATGGGAATATGGAGGGGGTAAACCCGTTCAAGGTACACTGTATGCATGCATGGAATTATCATAATGAAATCCCCTCATATTATTAATATATGATAAATCAAAAAAAATTTAAAGAAAAACACTTCATGTTAAATTATGATACATAGGCTTTTACATATGAATTAAATTCAAATTATATGATAACTGCAATATAATGTTTTATATTTCTTTGTTGTTTGTTTTGTGGTCATTGTTGTTGCTTTTGTGCTGGAGATTGGAACTCAGGCACCTGAACATGCTAAGCATGGGTTCTCCCACTGACCTACATTTCTTAAAAGAGGTCTTTTCATCCATGGACTCTCTCAGTCACTCAACACTGCAAAACAAACTATTTCAAAACTTGAGAGCTAAAAACAACAACTATTTTTATTTCTCGGGGTCTTGTGGATTGGCAGGGTGGACTTTCTGCTCCATAGGCTCTGCCAGGGTCACTCATGCAGCTGCATTTATCCCTACAGCTGGAGTGGCTGAACTGGCTGGGGGCAATTGGATGGGCCTTTTTTTTTTGCAACAACTCCTCCTCCACCTCCACATCCAAGTCCATCTCCACTATCTTCACACATTCTGCTTGGCAAGAAAGAATGGCCTTTTAGCTCCTGTTCTTCTATCTAATGGCTTGGGAAAGAGATGAGCATGACTCTAAACCTCTATTTCAGTAAAACCTCAGAAATTTGGATAGAGTAGGGGAGAAAAGCTCAAATTCAAGAATGGAAAGTAGAGATAGCAACTGGGAAAGGGGAGGCACAGAAGGAAAGCTATAAGAAACTAGGGAAGTGTCTCGAACCCCCAGAGACAACTATCTGGCCACCATTGGGTGCCAAAGTGCAGTTAGAGGGTGCCCTTCTGGACACTTGAAGCTCTGAATCAGGTTACATGTCGTGGCAGTCAGAATGCTGGCTGAATTTCAGCACCCTTTTAGCCTCCTAGCCCAATGCCCTTGTGTAGTGAACAACCTACATAACCATATAGGCTCTGAGCCGCTCCCCCATTCTGAGTCTCAGCTGCCACACATGTGAAATGAGGACATTGAATGTGATAATGCATGCAGCACCCACACCACTAAGCTCTAAAATGCCTTGTTCTCAGTATCTGAATTACAGATTTTAAGGAAATTGCTGTTTTATTGCTTCCAAATACATAGCATGATTAGAACTAATTGCAGGAAGCTGCCAAGCAGCCGTCCTTAGGAGCTCTGCTTTGACAATAGATAAGAATGATTTGAATTAGCAGATCAGTTACTAGAAATGTCGATGGGTGTTTCTACTGTGCCTGATCGTGTTTGGAAGCAGCTTGTCCTCTTAAGTGGTGTAAATACCCGCCCTGTAATCTTTGTTTATACTATTAGTATGCCCAGCAAATCATTTTCTTTTTCATATCACAAATCCCACCAGATTGGGCTGACATTAATGAGGCTTTACTCTGCTTGACTTTGGAATGCTATCAGAGACTGAGCCCTCCTATTGTCACCATAATGCTCTCCCACTGGCCCCAATGCCACAGAGATTCAGGATTTACTTATCAATCTGTGTAGGAATGAGAAGCCACTGTTTTGGACGCCAGGATGCCAATTTGTTCAATAGCTCAGGTATTGATAGAGCACCTATTTGCCAGCAATTGCGAGCTAAGATTATCAAGATAGCAAGATCGAGCCCCTACCTTTGGACTTCTCCTTCACAGCATTTGCACTGCACCCTTGTAATTATTTTCTTAGTTATTCATAATCACTTGTCAGTATCTGCCTTCCTCCATAAGCTCCAAATGTCCAGGAAGTGCTTTCTTTCCTGAATTAATAAATGCTTGTCATCTCTTGTTGATGGTCTGAGAGTGTTGGAGAGCTCAGAACCATACCTGGAATATCAAGGAAGGCTTCACAGTCAAAGCATTAAGGATTGCACTGCAGTAGGGCCATAAAGGTTGCATAGGAGTTTTCTAGAAGGGCAAAGAGGAAAAGTGCATGTGTGTACAGATGAACCATGAAGAAACTTGAGAGATATGAAATAGCATCACATATCTGGGAGAACTGCAGATTAAGGAAGATGGGCAGGGAGGACCAGCAGGAGGCATAGCTGGAGAGGTTGACATGAGTCATTTCATAAAAGGTTTTGGATACCAGGCTAAGAAATCAGATTCTGTCCTATGAGCAATGAAAAAACAAACAAGAGGCCTAGTCAGAGGAGACATCTAACCCAACATGGAGCTGTGGCCCTGCTCAGCATCCCAGTAAAACATACCTGCTCTGCTGTTCTTGCCCAGATGCAGTACCCAGGCCCATGGTTCAAGTGTTCGTTGCTGTAGCAGGGGATCCTCAGAACTCCAGCACCTGCCGGGTCTTCCTGTCCTGCCAGGCCCCCAACATCAGTGACATAACCTATAACTGGCGACGGGAGGGGACAATGGACTTTGGTGTCGAACAGCACAGACTCTTCACAAACGGACAAGTGCTGAGCATTTCACTGGGACTGGGAGACAGGGATGTGGCCTATTCCTGCATCATCTCCAACCCTGTCAGCTGGGATGTGGCTACAGTCACGCCCTGGGAGAGCTGCCATCATGAGGCAGGTATGCCAAGAACCAGTGGTCAATGGTTGAGGGACTGTGAGGCATCAGGTTCATCTCTGACCTTACCTGTCTATCTCCAGCATCAGGGAAGGCCTCCTACAAGGATGTGCTGCTGGTGGTGGTCCCAGTCTTGCTGCTCCTGCTCCTGGTTGGTCTCTTCTCTGCACGGCATTGTGGCCCCTGCTCAGGTGGGAGTCCTGCAGATACAGGAGATGGTTAGAAGAGGTGCATCTACTGGGGAAGAAGCTGGGGTTGTACCTCCTTCTACTTTGACTTCAAATGTCTTCCTCTTCACCTCTCCTCTTCATCTCTTGGCCTTCTCCATTTCATAGTTTGGTCTCCAACTAGGCTGAACTATTTAAGTTTCTTTTGCAGTTCTCCAAATGAGGTACTCTGTTACACACATCTTCAGGCCTTTGCACACTCTATTATCTCTGTGTAGAAGACACTTTCTATGATCTCCACCCCGTAGCTCCCCTTCTCCATATAATCTACTCAATCTTCAAGGTAAGCATGCTCCAAGAAGCCTTCTCTGACCTCCTCTACACCCCCATCTTGGGCTAATTAATCTTTCTTTTAATCTCCATTGCTTACCCCAATCGCAGAACTAATTACACTTACTTCTCCACTGAATTCTGAACCCTTTAAATGCAAAGGCTGGCCCACCATGGAGTGTGCCCAGTGATTCCTAGAACATCTTAATTCCTGGAATATGGCTAATACTGATAAATATTTGTTGAGAAAAATACAGATACAGATACAAAAATACAGATAAATCCCCTTGGAATCCTATCATTCCAACGAAATGTCTCCCTGGATGATGACCTTCCCTGACCAGTGGCTGAAGTGCCACCTTCTTGAGAAAAGGAGAAAAGGGAAAACTCTGAATCAAGCCAGGTTCTGAGCCCTATATCCAGCTTAGGCTTTCCTCTGCCCCCAGATGCCCTGTTCCTGAAGGAATGACCTAAGTGACCTGGGCTTCATGGCTATTTCCATGTTGGACTGTCTGAACTTGCTGGCCTCAGGGTCAGCAAAGAAGAGGCACTGGACCTGACTATTGTGGATGTGTCCTAGATGCCTGGGCCTTACCCCAGCCACTAGGTGCATGGGCAAAGAGTTACTGATTCTTGTATATTCTTCCCAAAAGGGCCAGTGAGCAGTTGAGACTGTAGTCCACCTAGAGGTCCAATCTGCTAGGGAGAGGGTCTAGCTCTGGCCTTTTGCCCCCAAGATTCCCCAAGATTTGTGATACGAAGATAAAAGCCAGGAAAACAGCAATTTTTTAAAAAAAAAACACAGCTTTATTGAGTTATTCATATACTGTACAATTCACCTATTTAAAGTGCAGAATTGAATGGTTTTTAGTATACCTACAGAGTTGTCCATCCATCAATAAAACCAATTTTAGAACATTTCCATCACCCCAGGAAAAAACCCCATAACCATATAGCCAACATCTCCCAACAACCCCATGCCTCCCACAACCCTAGGCAACCATTAATCTACTATCTACCTATATGTTTGTCTATTCTGGGCATTTTGTATAAATGAAATCACACTTTGTGACCAACTTCTTCTCCTTAGCCTAATGTTGTCAAGGTTCATAAAAGAATAGCTTTGGCTATTCTAAGAAGGGACAGAGAAGACCAAACTGTCTGGGATAGTAGAAATGCTCCACACAGAGGTCCAGAAGCTGGTCCTATCTCTGTCATGAGGCTTTTGGCATTTAACCAGGCCCGTCACAGCCCTTCTATAGCTAAATATATGGCAATCAAAAGTAGACATTAGGGAGAATTCTTGCTCTTAAGAATCTCTTTTTCTAAGGTTTTAGAAGATAAAGAGAGATGTCTCTTTGCCTGAGGTGACTTTCAGGACACTTAAGATTTAGAGGCCTGGTTCAGGTCAAGTATGCCAAGATGCCAGACACTAGAGAAATAACTTTCTGATCTCCTCGCTAGGGAAAAAGAAGAAGGATGTCTGCACTGATGGAGTGGTTGCAGAGACAGAGAACCCCCTTGTGTAGGATGTGCCATGAGGGACAACATAAACTGACACCTGGATCGTGAGGAGCCTCCCTGCCCAGACACTTGATTCTGGGACTTGGCAGGTGCCTTGAAAACTACCAGTGTCCTCATATCTCCTATGAGTCTCCCATCCTGCCTCCCCTCCTGGGCCGCCATCACACTGGAAGGACAGAAAGCACCTACACAAACTTCCACACCTCTCCTTCTTTCTCCCTGCTTTGTACATCCTGGCTCTTCTCTGGGCAATAAAGGCTAACCTGATGCTCCCTCAAAAACTCTGGAAGATTTCCAGGATCCACAGGGTCAGTGATTAACCAAGACACCCACTCCTCCACCACCATACATAAAGTTTTGCCCAACTAGTACCAAATAATTGCTTCCAGCCTGAGTCTTGGACTCTTAAAGACATCAGACATTTGAACTACCAGGGAAACTGAATCACCCACTCCCAGCTCCAGTCCCAGACCCTGAAATCTGAGAAACTGATGCTTCCTGATGATGAAAGTGTTATCATGAGGCAAGGTCTAGAATAGGTGAAGGTGAGAGGTAGAGAGCAGGGCTTTTTCTTTATGGCCTGAAAGGACTTTGAGGACATCTGAGTTGATTGCCTCTCAAAGGTAAATTGAAGTTACAGATGATCAAGAATGGTTGATAGCCCATGGCTGGAATGGAACCCATTTATCTAGTATTAATAAATATCGCTATCATCTCCACTGACTTTCATGCCTTCTGCATGATCTGGTGTTGGTCATCATACTCTCTACCATAGTGACCAGAAGAAGAGATACTGAATTTTCCCCAACCAACAGGAAGTTCTTCTACATCTTCAAGAAAAGCAGCTGAGTTCAGGATAAGTCCTTCAGCCTGAAGTGGGAAAGGAAAATCCAGGAAAAGCTTCAAAGAAGGAGAATTATGGAGGGAGGGTGCCACATTCATTTTCAGATGCAAGCGCAGAATCCACCCACATTCAAGAATTTGTCCTCTTGACCCATCCCTCAATAAAAAGATTGTCAAGGTCATTTTGATATATAGGATGGAAGATGTTATTGTGGCCATCTTTAGAAAATACATTCCTCCAGCGAGAGACTCTGTCTGGAAGTTTTTTGAGCTATTTGTTGTCACTGGGGCAAAAAAAAAAAAAAAAACTTGGTAAGTGAAATTTACCCTCAGGGATTACTAGCTAATATGGGCTCACAGTTATTCCCACACAAATGTAATCAGATTTTATCTGATTTTATCATTCAGGTCTTGATAACAGAAAGGAAGGAGGGGTAGGTTTTGAATATGTGCCCAGGGTGGCTTTATTCTATCCACCCAGTATGTCATTCCTACCCTAGGACCTTCCCTCTTCTCCTGAGTGCCTGGGCAGTCACTTTACCTTGGACAAATGACCAACACAACCTGCCTCTGATTCACATCACCACTCCTCCACTCCACTATTCTTGGGTTTCCCCTTCCTTGGATCAGAGGTCCCTTGTTTGGCCTTACCTAATCCTCATCCCTTTCTTGCACCCACTTTCTCCTATCACCTTCCCCCAAGTGCACCTGCAGAGCGTACCTGCCCACTCAATCTGGCAGCCTGTGCTGCCCTCATTTTCCACGTTAGAAGCATTCCTGATGCCTGATCACTGAATCACACAAAACTGGCCTGTTCCTAAAAATGATGTGAGAAAGAAAGCCCAAAATCTAGCAATGAACCATGGTAGTTCTGTGGGGGGAAAAGTACATATGATTCCCCACCTTTCTTCCCTTCATCCCCAGAGCTTCACCTCAGATCAGAGCAGTTCAGAGTGGGTGGGGCCCACAGTGGTCCCCTTCACAAGATGACTCTTAGCAAACTGGCATAGATGGTTTGTAATGAGTTGCACCAGCGCCTCTTTGAACAAGTCCATGCTGCTCAAATAAACTAATGTTCCCATCCTCAGTGACTCATTTGTCAACTAGTAGACTTATTAACCTTTCATTGAAAAACACAAAGTGCTTCTGTGAAACCAATTTTTGTGCTCGTAAGCATTGAGACTGATGCCTTAAAAGTTACATCATCACAAATATGACTGAGACACTGGGGAATCAGTTGTGAACAAAGCAAGACTCTTCCCTTCATGGAGTTTATATTCTAGATCATATAAATAAGTGACTAAGTGTATGTTAGATGCTGGTAGATTCTGTTAAGAAACATGAAGCAGACTAAATAGCTAGGGAGCTATGTGTTAGTGAAAAAAGGTCCATCTTAAATAAGATGACCAAAGGACACCTTCTGAAGAGGTGACATTTGAACAGGGTCTCAGGGATGTGAAAGAGTGAGTGAGCCATGCAGTGGCAAAGAGTGCTCCAGACAGAGAGACTAAAAAATGCAAAGGCCCTAAATGGGAATATGGTTGATATTTGCAAAGCATAAAGACCTGGTTGGATGGAGCCAAAGAAGGGAGGAAGAGAATGGGAAGAGTCCAGAGAGATGGCCTGGGGCCATATCACCAAAGACCTCATGGTCTTCAGAACATTACTTCCTTGGAGATTTGGGTGACAGAGAGAACCCCCATCAGTCACAGTATCAGATCCCTCCTAGATTGACCTTTATACCCTAGTATTCAGTAGACTTATGGTCAGATCACAGCCCTCCCTAAATCTGTTTTTGCTTTTCCTTGTTTTCATTTTATTTTTTTTCAGCAACAGACTTTGCACCTGTTCTTCTGTGCAAAGAACAAACACAAGAGTTGTGAGTGACAATGGGTCAGGTGACCTGATATTGGAGAGAGTGGTGAGGGGCATAGCAAAGGAGAAGGGATAGAGAAGACTTTTTTTTTTATTAATGGAGCTATGAACATCCAGTGCTAAAAAAGGAGGAGGAAACAGAAAAAAATCTGTTGCAAACACTAAAGGCATTTCTGGTGATTCTTCCTTCTACGTTTATGAGGAAGTCATACCTCTTTTGAAATCAGCTTTTGGTTACTTACTGATCTCTGGGGGAAGCACTGCCCTTTTTCCAGATTTGACTCCCTCCATCTATTCTGCATGCAGTTGAAGGAAGGGCTTGTAAAACTATAAAACGTAGCTATCCCCAGATCCAGGAAAGTTTAGTGGCTGTCTCCTCTCAGGCTATACATTGGTCAGTGTTATTTGCCAAGAGGGGCAGGCTGAGCACATGGGTAAGTAGTGGCAATACTCCAGTGTACAACTAACCTGAGGGAAACGGTCACTTCAGGGAGACACTAGAAAACTTGAGTATCCAGAAGAGAATGACCAGAATGATGAAAAGCCACAACCCCTTCTTCTGTCAGAAATTATTTTTAAAAAAACTGGTCATGTTTAGTCTGGAACAAAAACTCAAAGGGGCATGTATCTACAAATATTTGAAGGGCTATCACATAAGCCCAGACTGTGTAACCAGGGTCAATAGAGCATGTCACTAAGAGGCAGATATTGACTCATATGAATAATAGTATATTAGCACTGGGAGGAAACTTGTGGTTACTCAGTTCAAGTTTTTTCATTTCTTAGGTGCAAAGCTGAGGCCTACAGAGATTGTTTCTCCCCTAAAAGGACATAATTAGTCAGCACAAAGTCAGAATTAGCTGTGATGCCCTTCATGCTGTATTAGAATACCAAGGAAACTTTCTGACAGATGAAAAACTCCAAATATGAAATGAGTTGTTTTAATGAATGTGCTTGAATAGAAACTATCTCAGAGCAAGATCACAGACTGGAGACTTTTCATATTAGGTAGGAAATTGTATTAAGAATGAAAACTACACAACACATATATCCAGACCTCTGCCTTCTAGGGCCATGTCAGACATGGCTAACTAATTATGACATACTTTTCCTGCTGAGTCCAGATGTAATGCTCAAGTTACCTCCAACAACCAATTAAATATGAGAACTATTTGCCACTGCCATCCCAACAATCCATAAGACCCTCCCAATATTAAGAATTAATTATAAATTAGAGAAAGAATGATTGAATAAACAAAAGAGGACAGAAATTCTTCTAGGGTATCAGAAACAAGCCATTCTTTTGCTAAAGAAAACTTGTTCTAAGCTTTTTTTTCTTTTTTTTCTTTCCTAGCTTCTTTTCTTCTGCCATTTTTCTCAGTATATTGCTTGGGGAAAGTATCAGAACTAGAAAGAAAGGGAGTGATTGGCAGCAATAGAAAATAGGTCTCATCTTGGCTCCCGACTTTCATTGACTGATGCAGGTAACTTGAGGATCAGTAATACCATTATCAGGAAAACACACCCTCAAAACAGCATGTCAGCCAAAAAAGTGAATGTAATACATACAGCCATTGAAAACTTCATGTTCTTTAGAATATTGAAGAATAATGGGAAAATGCTTTTATCAGTCAAAGATCTTTGGATGTAGGCAACAAAAACCAACTCTAGCCTTAACAGAAGCAAATAAGGAATTTATTAGAAAGTTGTCACAGAGACTTTAAATCTCAGAGACTCAAAGAAAACGTTGACTACAATGTCACTCCCAGTCAGCCACAGGGAAGAGAAAGAAAGGAGAATTCAAATTATGGCCTTTGGGTTAATAAGAGAAAGGACTGGCTCTCAAAGTTAGGTCTGCACATAAGAGGTTCTAGGGGAGCTCGAGGTAGAAGATAACAGCAGTGGTTTTCAAACTATAGTCATTGGCCCTGGGAGAGTCCCTAGAATCTTCTGGAAGATACATATGGGAAAACAATTTTCCTAATTTTTGCGCTTTTAATGGAGTTTGGACCCCAAGGTTCATGTATTTGGGAGTTTGATCCCCACTTTGGCACTGTAGAGGTGGCATGGTACCTTTAAGAGGTGGAGTCCAGTGAGAGATCTACAAATCACTGGGATATGCCCTCAAAAGGCACTGTAAGACCCAAGGCTCTCTGGTGTCCTGCTGGGCCATGTGATCTCTTCCTTACCAGAGCCAGCACTATACTGCTTTGACTTTCAGCCTCTGAAACTATGAGCTAAATAAAACTCTTTGCTTTGTAAAGTTTTTTAAAAAGACTGTTTTCTTAATTTCCTTTGTGA